AAGTAGCTGGGACTACAGGCGCCTGCCGCCACGCCCGGCTAATTTTTTGCATTTTTAGTAGAGACGGGGTTTCACCATGTTAGCCAGGATGGTCTCCATCTCCTGACCTCGTGATCCGCCCGCCTCGGCCTCCCAGAGTGCTGGGATTACAGGCTTGAGCCACCGCGCCCGGCCCCTCAGGTTGATTTTTCTGCTTATTGGACTGCTATTTGTTTTCTGTGCCTCCCCCATGCCCCCCACCCCACCCCTGCCGTTAGAATGCAAGCTCCACAAGGCAAGGACTTTATGTGGTTCACTAGAGCCCGCACTGTGCCTGGCACACAACAGGTGCTCAGTAAATTGCCGTTGAATGAGTGGATGGTGAATGAGTGGGACTCCAGGGGCCGCTCTCACAGGCATCTTCCATTGCAGTTCTGATCGGATCCAGCTGATGAACTCTGGGATTGGCTGGTTCCAAGTAAGTGTTAACAGGTGGTGCCTGAGGGCACAGGGGATGGCCTGGAACGGTCCACTCTCAAAAGAGATATTGCCCAGGACTTGCTTCAAACAAGGTCCCCACAGAAGCACCAGGGGGTGCTGGTCAGTCTCCACCAAAGTCCAACTTCCTGGCTCGAGTTTTCTGTTTTACAGTTCTCTGTTTACAGAGAACCCATTGTGTGTCAGACACAGCTGAGAACACACACATGCACACACAAATACACTCACAGATACACACTTTCTTTCAGTGAAATTTTGATCCTGAATTAGAACACAAGTGCCCTTGACTCACAGTCTCATTCTGCGTACATAGACACGCCTCAGTGCCCTAGACAGCCCCTGCCTGCTGGGAGTTAGACCAAACCGGAGACCTCAGTCCAGCATGTGTTCTCTGGTTTTTATGACTTGTTTTTCACTGTTTTCGACTTTTTTTTTTTTTTTTAAGATGGAGTCTCACTCTGTCGCCTAGGCTGGAGTGCAGTGGTGTGATCTTGGCTCACTGCAACCTCCACCTCCTGGGTTCAAGCAATTCTCCTGCCTCAGCCTCCCAAGCAGCTGCGACTACAGGCGCCCGCCACCACGCCCGGCTAATTTTTTGTATTTTTAGTAGAGACGGGGTTTCACTGTGTTAGTCAGGATGGTCTCGATCTCCTGACCTCATGATCCACCCACCTTGGCCTCCCAAAGTGCTGGGATTACAGACGTGAGCCACCGTGCCTGGCAACTAGTATTTTAAAATAGGGAGAGTTCCACATGCAAATCAGGACTTCAGGCTTCCCTCCAGAAGTCAGAAGCTCAGGCAATGCAGGGCAAAATTCCCTCAGGGCAAATTTGGCTGCAACAGAGTGGTAGGGCCCTGAGGATGGCACATCCTCCAATGCACCCCAATCCCCTCATCTACCAGGCCCCAGGGGCAGCTGAGTTCGTGCCCACCCCAGCCCATCTGGTCCCTGGGAGCTCCCACAGCTCTGATCAGCAGGGGACCTGGAATTCCTACATCTCCACCAGCCGCCTTCACCCGTGGGGAGGAGCCATACCCACGCAGAATGAGGAGGGGGACTTCGGATTCTCAGCCAGGGTGACAGTCCCCCTTCTCTCTCTCACAGCCTGACGTTCTGAAAAACATCATCACTGAGATCATCCTCTCCGTTCTGCTGCCAAACCAGAATGGTGCGTACCTCTGCCGTCTGTGCCCCCTGTCTCCCCAGGGCCTGGCTTTACTTCCCCTGCCCTCATCTCCATGAATGGGGCCCCTTTCATTCATCTCCCAGCCATCCCTGAGAGCCTGCTTCAAAAGCCACCTCCTCCCAAGAATCTTCTCAGCCCAATTCCTTTGCTAGTGCCAGAGGCTGGGCTTGTAAAGATGAACCAAGCAGTGGGCCAGCCTTGCAGGGCTGGAAGGAGACAGAAGTGTAAGCAGACAATGCAACCAGAGAGGTGAAAGAGACAACTGGAGGTGCCTCGGCAGACCCTGTTCTCCGTCTTGCTAGTGCCTGGCCTTGGTCAAGTTGCACGATCCTTCTGAGCCTCAGTTTCTCCATCTGTAAAATGGGGACACAGAAGTACCTTCTTCAGAGGCACAAATCAGGAGGTGTCTGGCACAGTCACTGCCCAACACTCTAATTCAGCCCCAGGTTGAATGAGGGGTGGGAAGAGTTTGTAACCTATACCAGCTCCATCTTTTTAATTTCTTTATTTTATTAGACTGGAAAATCTCAAAGTATAGAAACCTCTGCTGGCGATAATGGGAGCCCCTGATGGTTCTTGAGCAAGAGTGTAAGAGAATGCGAGGATTGCATTTTGTGAGGAGCCAGAAGCCAGTGCCAGAGGCAAAGGGAGGGTAGATGAGGCTGGGTCGATGCTGGGGCCAGAGAACACGCGAACAGAGGTATAGAGGGCTGTCTGATCAGGCCTGCCAGGCCGGGGCTTCCCTTCAGGAACCCTGAGCCTGCCCCTGGCTGCCCAGTCTCACCCCAGGCCCATCAGTTTCTGACCATGTTTGTTATTTCAGGCAAATTAAGATCTGGGGTCCCAGTGTCAGTGGTGAAGGCCTTGGGATTCGAGGCAGCTGAGTCCTCACTGACCAAGGTGAGTGGGTGTGGGCCTAAACATCGTGCCCCAGGGAGGGCACAGCTGCTGAGAGCCCTGTCTGGCAGGTGGGGCCTGCACTCCAATCCCAACCTGCAGGTGACCCTGGGCAAGTCCCTTCCCCTCTCAGGGCCTCACCTCCTCATCTGCAAGTGAGAAGGTTGGCTGTGCTGAGGATGGAACCCTCCTAGCCTGCGGTCAGTATACTTTTTCCACCTCCTTGTCATTCATTCATTCAGTAAATATTTTTCGAGGGTCTTCCATACACAAGGCATGCCTCTGAGTGCTTGAGGCCACTGAAATGAACAATTGGAAAACACTCCCATCTTTTTCAAGCCTACCTTCTAGCAGAAGAGGCAGATACATAAGTCTAAAGATATGACATCAGGCTGAATGGAGGAAGGCTGAGAAGAAAAATAAAGCAGGTTCAGGAGGAGAGAGTGATGTCAGGCGAGGGGTGCTGTTTCAGATGGGGTGGTCAGGGAGGGCCTCTCTGAGGAGGTGACATTTGAGCCAATGCCTGAGGAGGTGAAGGGTGAGCCCTGTGGGTAGCTGGGAGAAGTGTCCTGTCAGAAGGACAGGGTATTAGGCCATTCTCGCACTGCTATAAGGAAATACCGGAGGCCAGGCTCAGTGGCTCATGCCTGTAATTCCAGCACTTCGGGAGGCCAAGGTGGGTGGATCGCCTGAGGTCAAGCGTTAGAGACCAGCCTGGCCAACATGGGGAAACCCAGTCTCTACTAAAAATACAAAAATTAGCTAGGCATGATGGCAGGCACCTGTAATCCCAGCTACTTGGGAGGCTGAGGCAGGAGAGTTGCTTGAACCCAGGAGGCAGAGGTTGCAGTGAGCTGAGATCGTGCCATTGCACACCAGCCTGGGCAACAAGAGGGAAACTCCATCTCAAAAAAAAAAAGAAAAGAAAGGAAATACCTGAGACTGGGTAATTCATAAAGAAAAGAGGTTTAATTGGCTCACAGTTCTGCAGGCTGTACAGGAAGCATGATGCTGGCATCTGCTCAGCTTCTGGGGAGGCCTCAGGAAACTTGCAATCACGGCGGAAGGCGAAGGGCAAGCACGCACATCACATGGCCCAAGCAGGAGTAAGGGGTGGGAGGCGCTACACACTTTTAAACAACCAGATCTCACAAGAACACACTCACCATCACGAGAACAGCACCAAGGGGATGGCCCTAAACCATTCACGAGAAACCAGCCCCATGATCCAGTCAGCTTAGGCCCCACCTCCAACATCAGGTGCCACAGTTCTACATGAGATTTGGGCAGGGACACAGATCCAAACCATATCAGATGTCAAGTGCAAAGGCCTTGAGGTAGGGATTGTTGGTGTTCTAGGAAAGATGAGGAAGGAGGCCCAGGATCTGAGGCAGCATCCAGGGCAGGTACCTCATAGGCCTGAGATGCACTTGCACACACATACACATACACACACATGCACACCTTTACACACCTATACACATACACACACATATACACACACACCCCTTTACACACCTATACACATACACACACACACACGTACACATTATACATACACACACACCTTTATACACCTATACACATACATACACACATATACACATATACACTGCACACATACACACACACACCTTTATATATCTATACACATACATACACACATACACACACCTTTATACACCTATACACGTACATACACACACACATATACACTGCACACATACACATATGCATACACATATACACACATACACACATACACACACCACACATATACTACACACATACACATATACACACATACACATACACACCACACACACACACACACTACACACGCGTATACACACACACACACACACACACCATGTGGCCAGATGGTCTCAGCTCAAGACCGGGATCATGTCCATCTTGTCCATGCCTCTGTCCCCAGTGCTTGGCATGGCTTGGCACACAGTAGGTGTTCAATAAATGCTTGGTAAGCAAATGACTCTCCATGGCATCTGCTGGTGGGGAAAGGAACTATGGCAGTGTCACCCTCGCTCCCAAATACTATCCTTGAAAAGAACAACCCACAGTCACTGTGTGCCAGGCTCTGGGGCATCTCTCCCCCGCTAGAGTAGAGCCGAAACTCCAGGAAGGCAGGAGTTTCTGTCTCCTTTGTCCTCCGTTGTGGTCAGTGGCTGCACACAGTAGGTGTGTAGTAAATGCCTGCTAACTGAGATGGGCACCTTACTGTCATTAGGTCATGCAGAGGAGGGGCCCAAAGCAGGGGGTGATCAAGGCAGGTGATGAGTGCAAATCCCACTTCTGCCACCTACTGAGTGCGTGACTTTGGAAAGGGGATTGCCACCTTCAAGTCTCAGTGCCCCCATCTGCAAAATGGAGATGACATGAGGACCCAGTGTGGTATTAATGTTCACACACAGACCCTCCACCCTTGACCTTTCCAAGAATTCTGTATTTGTGGGTTCAGGGTCATGGTCCCCCAGTGACAGCAGTCACCTTACGGAGGACAAAACCAGCATAAACCACAAGGCAAGAGGTTAAAGAAACCTGTTTTCTGACTTTTCCCCTCCAATTCCAGGATGGCCTTGTGCTTACCCCAGCCTCCTTGTGGAAACCCAGCTCTGCTGTCTCCCAGTGAAGACTTGGATGGCGGCCATCAGGGAAGGCTGGGTCCCAGCTGGGAGTGTGGGTGTGAGCTCTACAGACCATCCCACTCTGCAATCAATAAACACTTGCCTGTGATGCCTGCAGTCTGGAGTCTTTTTGTCCTGGCACAGGAGTCATTTTGCCCCTGGCAGGCTTAGGGACTGGATAGCTGAGCCACACCTGGGTCACATTCAGGCACATCTGAGCCAATCTGGGTGATGTCTGAGCTGTCTGGACCACATCGGGCCACATGTGGATGATGTCCACGGTCTTGACCACCTCCCCGTGCTTCGGGAATCAGAAAGCCAGCTATTCCCACCTGCCTTCATGTCAGCCTCAAGACCATCTTCAGTGGGATGTCTTTTAGGGTAGGGGACATATATTTTGTTTATCTTGGCAGTGTGGACAGAGGACTCTGATCAATGTGGATCTGGGGGCAGATGAACTAGGCTTGGAGCTCTGGCCTGGCCTCTTAATGCTTCTTTGACTCTGGGATGTAGTTTCCCCTCTGTGGGCCTCAGTTTCCTTCTCCGTAAAATGGGAATAGTCATTGTCCCCACCTTGGAGGGCTTTGGTGAGGAGTAAATTTTGAGAGAACAGTTCCAGGTACATGGTAGGTACTCAGTTAATGTCGTCTGTGGGTGATGTCATCACTGCTGTTGCCTGGCCTCTGGAGTGTTCAGCCTTATCACCAAAGCGCCATCCTGCTCAGACAGTGGGTGACCGCCTTGTCTTTCTGGCCTCCCTGATGTCAGGATGCTTGGGACAGACAATAGGGCCCATGTTCTCCAGACCTCAGGCCTGCCCAGTACCCAGAGCCCTTTAGTTACACGAGGGGCCTCGTAGGAAGGGATGGGGTAGTCATGCCAGGAAAATGATTGCTCATCAAGAGAGCACAAACAGGCATAAGAACAGTTCACAGCCCGGAAGGGCAGCCAGGGAAATCGGACAGGCCAAGAGGGACACAGAAGGGCCAGGCCACGATCTTGCACAAGGTGCTTACGCCATTGTCAGTGACCACTTACCCAACAGCTGCCGAGTGCCAGGGCTGGGTGGAAGCTCCCCACCCATCCCAGCTCCCAGCCACACTTTGGGCACGATTTTGTTCCCCACATATCACATTCCATTATTTTTCTAAATCATATTAAATCTGCATTTGAACTCCAACTCGCAAAGAAGGTGAGAAAGTCTATCTCCATCTTACTCAGGGTCGGTCTCTTCTGGCTCCCTGGGGTCGTAGAAGGATCTACTGGAGGCTTCCAGGGAGCCTGGAGGGTGGGGCAGCCCCTCTCGGCTGGGTTCCACCTGGTCCCGATGAAGGGATCCCTGTCCCAGCCCACATGACCCTGTCAGAGGCAAGCAACTCCTCCACCCCAGCCAAGTGGGGCAGAGGCATCCTTCTCCAAAAGAGCCCTAGATGTGTATCCTCCAGGTCCCACCACCCACATCCTCTGGGGCTTCCTAGGGGTCGGCGGATAAATAACCCTGGCTTCCTCACCCTTTGGGGCAGGGAACAACTCTAGGGCACCTGCTATAGACGGGCTCCCAGCTCCCCAGCGGGACTGGGCCCCAGTTGCCCATGCTGGTAACCAGCTTGCTGACACAGTTTTTTGTTTGTTTGTTTGTTTTTTGTTTTTGTTTTTGAGACAAGATCTTGCTCTGTTGCCCAGGCTGGAGTGCAGTGACACAATCTCAATTTACTGCGGCCTCAAACTCCTGGATTCAAGTTATCCTCCCACCTCAACCTTCCAAGTAGCTTGAAATATAGGCGTGCACCACCATGCCCAGCCCGATGTGCTCTTTGTAGGTTGCCTTGCCTCTCCGCCTCACTTCCCCACTCCCCTACCACTGTTCCCTGGGGTCATCTCCCAAATCAACTCCCTGCACTCCAATCTTGTTCTCAGGGTCTGCTTCTGGTGAACCTGAACCAAGACAGCCATTTGCTCCATGCAGGCACTATTCGAAGGATCTTCCAGACCTCCGCTCACGCCACCACCCTCCATGAACTGCTGAGGCTCCCCCAGTCTGGCAGCTCCATGACTCCAGTGCCTTGCTGGGCTGTGGGAGGAAAACTCCTCCATTTCCTGCTGTCTTACCAGCGGCAGCAAAGAGAAAACACCAAGAGCTCTCATTCAATCATCGTGCCTTGCAGGAATTAGTACTGTGTTTGTCTTACAGACGGGAGATGAAGTAGCAAACAGCTGGTGATGTGATGGGGCTGGGGCGGGAACCCAGGCCTCACCCACTTTGCCCTGAGCCTCCCACCTGAATCCACAGCATGTTTAGATCCAGTTTTCTTTCTTTCTTTTCTTTCTTTTTCTCTTTCTTTCTTTTCTTTTCTTTTCTTTCTTTCTTTCTTTCTTTCTTTTTCTTTCTTACCCCTTCCTTCCTTCCTTCTTTCCTTTCTTTCTTTTTTTTTTTTCCTTTTAGACAGGGTCTCACTCTGTTGCCCAGGCTAGAGTACAGTGGTGCAATCCCTGCTCACTGCAACCTCCGCCTTCCCGGGCTCAAGCAATTCTCCTGCTTCAGCCTCCCAAGTAGCTGGGATTACAGGCATGCACCACCATGCCCAGCTGATTTTTGTGTTATTAGTAGAGATGAAGTTTTACAATGTGGGCCCGACTGGTCCCAAACTCCTGACCTCAAGTGATCCGCCCGCCTCGGCCTCCCAAAGTGCTGGGATTACAGGCGTGAGCCACCGCACCTGCCCCTAGTTTTCTTATTCCTCAAAATAACGGTAACAAGTAGCAGCCTCTGCTCCCAGCACAGTGTTATTCACTTCCTGTGGGATGAACATTCCCCTTTTACAGATCAATAAACTGAGGCTCAGAGAGAGGCAGTAACAATGTCTTGCCCATCTCCATGTCCTGCCTAGGGCTTCCCTTTTGTGGAAGACACCCCCACGAAACCTCGCATCTCTGCAGAGATTAGTCAATGAGGTAAGCATATGGAGGCCATGGGGCTCCAGTCTTTTACATTTAGAGACCGGATTTGGGAAGGAAAGAAGACCTCAGTGCCTCCACTAACATCCTGCTCCTTCCTGGTGACTCAGGTGAGCGGTTAACCCCAGAGCCTTTCTCTGCCCTCGGCAGAAGGAAGACAGCCCTTCACAATAATGTTGAGACCAAGTTTGCAGAAATGAAGGGGACCTGTCAACTCTTACAGCATCTTGTAACCCAAAAAATCTGAGATTCTCAAATGAGAATATCCCATTTAATCTATGCTGCTAAATCATATTAGGTTGATGCAGCAACCTAATACTAACACTAGTCATTTGCTTTTGACGTTAGCCAAAATGGGAACTTCAGAGCTGTCATTGACTTTGTGCTTTCTGCATAGCTGCTGTCTTCTAGAACCAGCCCTTCAGGCTGGGAGCGGTAGCTCATGCCTGTAATCCCAGCACTTTGGGAGGTTGAGGCGGGCAGATCATGAAGTTAAGAGATTGAGACCAGCCTGGCCAACATAGTGAAACCCCATCTCTATTAAAAATACAAAACTTAGCCGAATGTGGTGGCGTGCGCCTGTAGTCCCAGCTACTCGGGAGGCTGAGGCAGGAGAATC